TGCAGTTCGATCCAAAGAGTGGGTATTTACGGGTACCACCATTTTTGGTCTGCCAATAAGTGAACTAAAACTAATTTCTGTAGGATATCACTGACGTTATTAGCGGACATCGCCATCATGTCAAACTGGAATTCGTAGCATACGCGTCGGAAAAGGGCGACAGCGGCGCCTATCTATTTTTGCACGGTGAATATGGCAAGGTAGGTTTTCGAGAGGCGATTGCATCTTGAGCTCGATCCCCGTCATCATCATAGTTTGCGATTGGTTTTCTAACGTTTCGATTATCGTAGATGATTCGTAGTCAAAAGCAGGTATTGTTGGTCGACGGTCCACTGTTCGCCACAGTTTATTCGTGCTTCCAGCAGGTGATGCATGCCTTCCGCGTCATCAAGGAAGAGGGTAAGTCGTAACAGTTAGCGAAATAGCCATTGTTGTTGGTTCTACCTTTGCTTTCAGAGTTCTTTGCCCGCGCCTTTCACGTAACGAACGTCGTTGATATTACCAGTGAGACAGTGGATTACGAGTTGGCCATGCGGCTGAAGACTGACGTGAAAAGCGCCTCTGCCGACCGCTCATTCTACACTGACATAAACGGACTAATGGTGAGAGATGCATATGCAAAAAAAGTTTTTGCCTTGTAGCGCATAACTCAGCGAATTGAATAATTCAGATTTCATAAGGGCGAGAATTCTCCTTAACTGAAACCCTTTAAGTAAGAAGACTTAAATCTTTACAACTATTCCATCGGTACTAAGCAATATATGATCAGTTTTAGAAAAATCGTGTATGGCGGCGCTGCAGTAGCTCAGTCCGTATAGGGTAGTGCATGTAGTAGAAAGGACAGTTGGTTCGCATCGCAGCCACGTCACCCACTTGCCTTTCAACTTTACGACGCAGATGAGCGAGTGCCACTTTGCGGGAAACAAAGGCTATATTCATAGATAACTACACTATGGGTAAACCAAGCAAACCTTTGAGGGTTTTCGAATCTTGATCATTAACAGATTTGATGGATCCTCCTTTTTTCGTCATGGAGTGAGGAAGTCGATAGGCTACTCTTGACTTGCTGCTACATTTTGAGCTTGTTGAAATAGGATAGCAGATTTTGACCATACTGATGTAACACAGGATCAACTCAAGATATTTACGGCTGGTTCTAATGAACAAACTTCAAGAGAAACTGAACTCTGCACAGCCAAAGGAGCAAGCAGGATTCAGAAGTAGATTTATTACGATCAGTCCTCTTCTGGTTGTAAACAAATAATTCAGACATGCAGTGCATAGCAACTTCTTGTCTGTCTGGAACTATCGATTTCAAGTAGACTTTCGACTGAGTCAGCTTCCATTATCTGTCAGATTCCTGGAGGAGCCTTATAATCGAGAAAGGATTCAGCAACTTTATCGTCATGATTGGCAAGAATGCAACCATAATGCCTAACAACTACGCGACCATTGATGTCAAAGGAGTTTGACTTATCGCATATCAACGCAGACTTAAATATCTGGGACAGCGCATCTACAACAAGAAACAAATGGCAGGAACACTTTCTGCTTCTTCATCTTCCATGGCCGCTTCTTCTTTCGGGTCGCGGAAGCAAACGCGTCAGAGAGTGCTTCCAATGTTTGCGGTCATGTACCAGAATCTGATATTCAGCAGAAAACCACTGGAGTCTGGAGCATAATCCTTCCAAATAGTTGCACCCAGGTTAATCTTGTCTGCACTTGGGCCAAGAAAACATTGCTTAGCCTTCCTTTGTAAAGGCATTCGCAGCACGTGCCCAAACCATCGTAGCGGTGACTTCCCAGTCTCAGTATTCCGCACCATGTCGAGACGCGTAAGGCCAGCGACTCTTCTAAGAAAGCCCATTTCAGCAGCTTGTACCAGTGTTCGCAGCTCTTCAGTCATGGTTCCCAACTCATGACCTAGGTAAGCATGGAGGTAAAGATCGACTTGAACACCGAGAGTTTAGTTTTCACAGAACGCCAACACTGGCTACTTCAATTCGCCGGTCGATCTCTTCCTCCAATTTTCCATCACTAGTAAATACAGTTCCGAGGTACTTGAACTTCTCCATCTGCTCCACTGCTTCTCCGTTAATTTGAAGAGAGCAACGGGCAGGAGAACGAGAAAGCACTAGGCTTTTCGTTTTAGATGCCTCCACACGCATGCCGGTCACGTCAGATTCGACTGCGAACCTTTCTATGGAGAACTAGATCAGTTTCAGTGAATGCCAATAAAACATGGTAGTCTGCAGACAGCAGCCTTCTCGTCTTCACATCTCCTACACTGATATACTCATCACCTTGCCTGCTCCTGACTTTTCTACCCATTTACAAGACAAACAAGGGAGGGGACAGGACGCTGCGTTGGCGAAGACCAGTGCCAACGTTGAAAGGTTTCAACTTAACGCAGTTTACTCTGACACAGCGCTTGCTATCAAAATACACCAATTGAATGGCTCTTAGCTGCTGGCCACCTATCTCCTATGCTCACAGGCATGACCACAGACTGTTTGCGTGGGATCAGGTCATAGACTTTTTCTAGGTCAACAAAACACCTACACCGGACGGGCGTATTCCCGTGATTTCTCAACAATCTGGCGCAGGGCAAGTATGTGGTCAGAGGTGCTTCGACCGGGCCGGAAGCCACACTGCTCTTCTTGTATCTTGAGGTAATCTGTTTTGCGTCACCTCCATTCTAGCACCTTTGCGTAGGCTTTACCTTGGAGGCTCAATAACGTAATGCCCCTATAATTGGAGCATTCCTTATGGTGTCCCTTCTTGAATACGGATACAGTAACTCCCGTTCTCTAGTCCACATATGTCTTTCCCGCAGTCATCGCAGTTTGACAGACACATGTTAGCCAGCAAATGCCTTGTTTGCCTAATGCCTTGAGCATCTCAGGGCAGATTTCGTCAGTTCCGGCAGCATTTCCTATTTTCAAGTTTTTTACAGCCTGTGCAATTTCATCTACAGAGATAGTAATATCCATACCCTTCTGCTCTATAGGCGAATCTTCT